CCAACGGCTTCTGTACCACATGCCAGGTAAAGTCACAGTAAAGAACCGATTTGTTTTGGTACTGTTTTCCTACATTAACCAGTTTTTCTATTGCCTGTACAGAACCTGACATCATAATGTAAGGATGAAAAGTTAAATTTGGTCCATGTTTTAAGGGGATTCAGTCCATGGTCAGCCAGTTGTAAGGCAGAAATATCATGGTAGAAGTGTGTGGTAGAGGAAAAATGCTTAATTTATGACAGTCTGGAAGCAAAGCAGAGCAATAGACCTAAAAATGAGGAGGTATGATAGACATAGAAATGAAAGGATACTGCTGAAAAGTAAAGAGCAACTGGGATGAGGGAAGAGAGAAAAGAAAGAAGGGGAAAACTATGTATATACGTATATACAGGATATCCTGCATATATGTATATACAGGATAGCTACCATAGTTGTACTACTGTACATGTCACTTTATTGAAAGGAATAGTTAATGATTAACTATTTGATCAATCTTTCATGTCTGTACTTGCTTTGCTGAGTAACCACTTTGAAGTTATCAATATATAATATGGCAACCAATGTTAATTTCCTGCCACCTTGTCTGTAATTCAGTATTGCTTATATTTTCTTGTGCTATTTTGTAAATGAATGTCTGTTTGTTAATATGTTTTTGTTCTTTTATTTTTAAAATAAAATAAAAATAAATAAAATGACCAGTATATCTTATATGCATGTACCAGTTTCTCAAAATTGCCATTATTCTATATGTCAAAGATACACCAATGAAAACAAGGTGCTGTGAAAATTACATACCAACATGCAGAACATTATAGTCAGATTCCCTTCTCTCATCAATTAATAAAAACCTCAGTATGGATTGAAGACTTAAATGTAATACCTGTAGGTATGAAACTACTAGCAGAAAATGAGAAGGCTTCAGCATGTTAAAATGGACAATGTATTTAGGTAGGACCCAAAAGCACAGGCAACAAAAGCAAAAAGAAACAAATGAGATTATATCAAAATCAAAACCTTCTGTACAGACAAGAAAAAAATACCAGTAAAGGGAAAACACAATCTAAAGAATAGGAAAAAAAATTACAAGCTAGTTATCCAACCAGGGATTAATATCCAGAATCAAACAACTTAATAACAAAAAGCACAAATAAGCTGCTTTGGAAAGGACAAACAATCTGAACAGACTCTTCTTAACACAAAGACAAATAGCTTCCAAAATTTCATATGAAAAATTATTAACATCAGAAATCACTGAGGAAATTAAAATCAAATCCCCAAGTAAACACCATTTACCAAATTGAAAGGGCTACATTAAGAAATTAGTCAACAAATTAACAAATTAACAAAAAGGAACAAATCCTGGGGAAGATACAGGGATATTTGAGCTTTTCCTTACTGTTTATTTCAAAGTAAAACAGCATAGCCCTTATAAAAAATATATGGAGAATTTTTGTATAAAGAAAAGTGCAAATGTCATGTGTTCCAAAAATTCTACTTTTCATTATATATCCAAATAAATGGAAATCAGTGTATTGAAGAGACATCTGCACTCCCATATGTATTGTAGCACTGTTCCCCATACTAAAGATGGAGCTAACCTAAGTGCCCATGAATGGGTGAATGGATAAAGAAAATGTAAAACTGAACAGTGTATCACTTTCAACCATAAAATCTTAAGTCCTATCATTTGCACTAACATAACAGACCCTGGAAGATATTATATGCAGTAAATGAGGCACAAAAAGACAAATACATGTTCTTACTTATGTGTTGAAACAAAACAAACAGAAACTAAATAAGTTGATCTCCTGGAAGTAGAGTATAGGAGTGGTTACCAAGTGCTTGAAAAGTGAGAGAGCTGGAAGGGAGAGAGAATAATTAGTGATAGGATTAAAAAATTCAGTGAATATGATGAATAAGTTCTAGTTTTCTATAGCACAGTAGTGTGACCACATAATATTTGGTAGTGCAAAATAGCTAGAAGAAAGGATTTAAATTTTCTAGCAGGAAGAAATTATAAATGTTTGAAATGATGGTTATACTAATGACCCTGGTTTTATCATTACATATTGGATATATGTAGTAAAAGATCACACTGCACCCTATAAATATGTACCATTATTATATATCAACTAAAATAATTTAAAAAGCAAGCCCCAAATTGTCATATTATCAAGTCTTTGCTTTTCATTTATAATGTATGGTATCATAAAGACATTAAACTCCTGGATTTAAAATTACACACACATCACTTATATATGAAATGCATTTAAAATTATATGTATATATTTTATATCTCAAAGTCTGTATTGTGGTAAAATATAGGACTTAAAAATCTTCCACTTAAACTGTTCTAAGTGCAGAACTCAAGGGCATGAGTTCTATCACAATGATCCAAAAATATTTCCCTTAATAAAGATTAATTGCAATGACAAAGAATTTTTTGTTGCTATAAAGGAGCATATTGGAACAACTTTCAATCCCTGAATAGGACTATAGATTAGATAATAATTTATATTCAAGTCAATTTCTGGATTTTAAAATTTGCCGTGTGGTTTTCTGAAAGAATATCAGTGTTTCTAGTAAACACATACATATGTAGGCATTAAGGGACCTCTGTACCTATAACTGATTCTCAATATATTTGTTATTGGGGGTTGAGAATCAGTAAAAAAGATGTTCAACCTAAGAAATAAACAGCTCTGAGAACTTCACTGCTCTGACTCTGGAATAGTGCAGAGTCTATCATGGTATAAAACTATAAAAATTGTTATGTCCTGGATTATCCATCATTCATATCACTTAAAATATAACCTTACAGATAAGAATGGACTCCTGCTGTGGTACCTTTTTGGCTGACCACAAATCTTGCATAGTTACATACACAAGCTCTTGGCTTCCTTGCACCCCTAACCAACATTCCATTCCTTTTACATCATCAGGAACCCTCCACTCTGGGAGGTATGCCACTCAGGAGCCTCTTTGGTCGCTGTCCTGCTCCCTCAGTACCTGTTCATGCATGCTCTTTAGAACCATAAAGACCTTAGATGTCAGAGCCAAAGGAGAACAGGGAGATTAGGATGAGCAAGAGATATGTACAACATGCATGCGAGAAGGACCTGATACCTGGGTGCTCCTTTCATTCTCCTTTGCCCCTTCCAGTTTTCTTGTCCTCAGAGGCTATTTCAGTGATAGCTCCATAAAGACAATTGCCAGTTCCATCCAGAAGGAGCATCCCCTTTCATGAGTGTGTACCAAATGTCTCCCATAGTTGTCTGTACACTCTCCTTCAGCTTGTGTTTTAGTCGTATATTGGCTAGTATATTGCATGTATTGTCCTTCAAAGCTTAATTATTTCAAGGGTAAAATTCTTATGACATTAGCTAAATGATGAACCCTTGTTGCCTTGGAATTTGTGTCCATAACAGAATTCTGTACTATGCTGTAAGCTCTAGGAAACACATTAAGTTAGAAAACGTGATGCCACTTAAACATAGCGACTGGTTTAGTTGCAATAATGACTCAGCTCAACAGAGGAACAAAGTTGAAGTTCAGCTTTTCCCCTCATGAGCGTTGAGACACTGGCCTGTAGACTTGGCAAAATGATATCTTTAGACACTGCTAGGTGAAGAAGAATTGAATTTTTTCCTACTTTTCCATTTGTCTGGCTGAATCTTCAGATTCCTTTCTTTCTTTCCCTGATCACCCCCAAGAAATTTAACTTGACAAAATACTTTGAAGTCAGTCATGGGAGCACACACTTCTAACCTCAGCACTGTGGGAGGTGAAAAAAGAGGATCATAAGTTCAAGCCCAGCCAGAGTAATTTAGCTAAATAAAAAAAAGTAGGGGATATGTATGTGATTTGGTGTGAAGGTCCTAGGTTCAATCTCTAGGACAGAAACAAGAAAAAAAATGCCCTTAAATTATTTAAACACTTAATCATGGTATCTTTTTTCAGAGGTGGTCTTAGATAAAATATGGTAAATTTAAAGAAAGCGAGTTTAACAACACAAATTACTTTCCCTCTGCTTCACTGAGAAGGAAAATATTGGTTCAGCCTGGCTTAGGGGAAGAATGAAGAGTTAATTGTTTACCAGAACAAAATAAAATTCAAAGTGGCTGAAGAATGATCAAAGAGAAGCAACAATCCCTTCATAGCTCTTTGTCCCTTGCTGATAGGTGTAAGTTGGTGCACAAGGTAAATTCTGCATCAAGAATTGAAAATTAAGCAATTTTCAGCAATTTACTTTGTAAACATCCAAAAAGCCTGGAAAGTTTCCAGAATGACTGGTCCTTCACTGGCACAGATAGTTCAGTGAACTTGCGGGACATGTGAGCACTCTGATTCTCATCTGTTTTCTACTAGTAACTCTACTCAGTCCTTGCTCACTTCCAGAAATGGTGAACGGTGCTTTCTCAAGTACGCTGAGCTATGCATTAACTATTACTCATTTTGTTATAAAAATTCCAGCTCTGCCTGTTCTCAGTGGAACACTCATTCAATTCTAAACTGAACTTGTGTTTTTAGATTTGCAAATCTATTCTGCACCTAGATGAAACTGTCTTTGCTTTTTTCTTTTAAGCTCATTTGTAAATTTTGGTTCATTACGGGCAGTGGAAAAAAGTAGGAGCCAAGAAGAAAATTCTTTTCTTTATTTCCAAAGAGCTGTTACAGATAGATAATAGCTGTTATCTATCTGAATGAGACTTTGTTCTTCGAGCACACCTATTTTTTTATATCCTTAATGATAGGATGGATTTACACCCAAGAGACTATTAGGACTTGAAGTCCTGCGAGTCTGTGCGCCAGGTCTCTGATACCACATCCACCTTTTCACATTAATGCTTTCTAGAGAGACCCTAGGAAAGTTAGGATGTCCAGATGTTTTCCCCTTGTAAAGGCCATTAAAAGCCTATATACTCTGTTCTCTGATCTTTGAACTCTGGCTCCATAATGCAGTTCCTTGTAAGTAAGACAAAAGGAGGCACTGAACTCACAGAAATTCCAATGGCCACAATAATGAAGAGAGAAAGGATGGAGAGGGTGATCTGCAGTCGTTTTCCACCAAATCGCTTCCTGAGATACTCTGGCATGGTCACCACCTGCAGAGATAGATGTCAACAGTAATTCACCTTTGGACTACCATCTTGGGATCTCCTATCAGCTCCAACATTTACTAGACATTGTGGCCTTGAAAAGTGACAATATTTTTGTATCTATTTTATCAAGTATGAAGTGGAGACTTGATCTGAAAGTTGATGTGAAGTATGTGTAACAACACCAAATGCCTGGAAGACACTTGACACATAATTTTGCCTATTACATTGGAGTCATTAAAAGCAATATTACCATTAGTCACCGCTTTGATTAAGGAATAAATTGATAATTGAATAAATTATAAGTATATATTTTAATATATATTCATGTGATTATCTTTTTGAAAAGGGAATTACATGAAATCCCTATCTATGGTTTTCATTACTGAAGTATGAGATTGAATATATGATCTCATAGACCATTACATCAGTGGCATGATGCAAATGAAAAATTATAACTAAAAGAGAAGTGGAGCAGAATAATTAGGAAAAATTGCAACCTAGTCTTTCAAAGAACAAAGAAAACATATGTAAAGTAGTGCTCTGGCAACTGCTTGTTGAGATTATTATGGATAAAATGGTGCTGAGCATCAGGACAATGGGAAAAGGTGTTGATAGCATCTAAGGAATCTTCAAAGCTGTCCCTCACATCATAGTCCTAGAAGATTAGGAGGGCAGAGTGTTCCCAGGGAATGGATGTGGGGTCCTTTCTGTGGGTTTGCTGCCCAGATTCATGTCAGGACTTTGATGTACACCGCCCAGTGCAATGCTCTACTCCAGAGAGCGTGTGGCAGACCTCAGTTGTATCCATGTGGTATTAATTCTGAAGTCTTGCAGAATTAAAAATGTACAGAATCATGGTGATTTCCACCTGGATTTCAGAGGAAAGCCTTAGGGACCAAGTAGAAAGCTGCTACTGAGGTGAAGATGTCAAGGAATTGCCACTGGAGCTATGTCTCGTGGGGCTGTGGGAATGGTGCTCCATCCAAAACCTTAGAAATGTAAAGCAATAGGCAGTATGAAATATCAGTGTGAAAAGCTGTAGGTAGAGAATCCAAAACTAAGAGCTAAGACAGGCAAAGCTATTGGGAGGAGCTTCCCAAACCTATCTTAGACTTTTAAAATTTAGTATCTAATCTACTGTGTTTTAGTATTGTTGGGGGCCTGTGATCCTTTTTCTCTTAACTTATTTGTCCTATTTGGAAGATAATGCTTATTATATCTCTACTCTGTCATTGTAGTTTGGAAGTATATAACTTGTTTTTGTTTATAGGCTCACAGCTGTTAGGAGATTCTTAGAGACTCAGATGTGATTTTGGACTTGAATGTTTAGCTAGTGCTGGAATGAGTTAACACTTCGGAAGTATTATCATGGAGTGAATGTCGTTTACAATGTAAGACAAGTATGCACTTCAGGAGTCTTGGCTAGATGCTGTGATCTGAATATGTTTGTGCCCCAAAATGTCATGTACTAGAAATTGGGTCTCCAGTGTGTGATTCTGAGTTTGAGGGTTCTTTTAGAAGTGGGGTTTATTGGAAAGTGGCTTTGTCATGGGGACTCCATTCTCACAAAAGGATTAATGTAGTTCTCAAAGGACAAAGTTAATTCTTTGAAGAGTAAGTTGCTCTAAAGCAAAGACAGCCCATACGATCAGCAATCTCTGTATGCAATTATTTCCTTTTCTGATACTTAACCATATTGTAATACAGCAGTGCTCCTATGGAGAGCTCAGGAGATTCTGGCGCTATGCTGCTTAATCTCCCAAACAATGAGCAAAAAGTATGGTTTTCTTTGTAAAAAGAACCTAGCCTCACACATTTTTACAGCAATATGAAAGTAATTAAGAGTCTTAAAGGAACCAAAACAATCACCAATTTGTAAAATGAATGTTTTCCTATTCTTTTCATTCCCTCTCTGGTTCCACTTTGGAATCTTTCCGTCCACCAATGAACAGTTCATGCATCCAGTAATTTCAGCTTCAAGGATTAGAGTTGCTTGTAGTGCTTCCTTCCCCACTGGTTTCATCTTTAACCTGCTATCAAGTCTGTCATCTCTGTTCCAGAGCAGCTTCCATTTTTCCTTTCTCCTTCCTACAGAATCATGAATTATTTTGTAAAATCCTTCATTCTTGCCTTCCATGTATCACCTGCTCAAGTCAATTCTCCCCTCAACTGAATAGAACTTCTTAAATCATGAATCTGTTGATGAATTTTGAGTGCTGGGAGGCCTCTGTTGCCTGTGGTATGATATAGGGCACATCTTTTAAATCTAGGCTGCATAAACCACTCACAGTTGAACCCTGCCTATACCTACAGATCCACTTCCTTTTTTATTAAAAAGAGAATAAAAAATAATAAAATAACAACAACATAGGCAAAAACAAAGCAAAAACAATAAAAATGATACAGAGTTTCAAAACAAAATGATAGGGATTAACAGTGGTTGCTATATTACATATTGTTATCTTCAATGAAGTTGCTCAGATTCCCAGATGTAAGAATGCAAGATTGATCAAACCATTAAAGAGAATAAAAAATAATAAAAAATTAGAAATGATACAGAGCTTCAACAAAAAAGATGGTAGGAATTCACCAATGATTGTTATATTGCATATTGTTTTCCTCAGATTAGTCGTTCAGATCACCAAATATAAGAACGCAAAATTGGTAAAAAATATTTAAGCATTAACTATTCCTTTCAATAGATCCACTTTCATCTCCCACTAGTTTCCTCCATAAACCCATTACTTTAACTGTGAGTTTATCTGATATACAAATACTCCAAGTTCATATATGGTTTCTCAAACAATCCTAGAGACTTTTCTACCTACTGGGGCCACCCTAATCCTCTAAGGATGAAGTAAGGCCACTTAGGAAAAGCTTTCTTATAAGCACTTTGGTGGTCCAGATACAGGTTCCCTCACCAGGCAGACTCCCCACCACAGTGCTCATTATGAGGACCACTACAGATTTCTCATCTGGCTGCAGTCTCATCCCACAATGGGAGCTCTGCTAGGCAAGAATTTGATGTTTCTCATTTGTATATTCTTAGTATTAGACCAGGAAAAGAGAATCCATTTTCATTATTGAGAGAAAAGTTAGTGAATAAAGGAGTAACTGAAGATAAAGTTGAAAGGTTCCCATGAACACCTGTGGATACTCACCCCTGCCTTGATGTAGATGGGGACAAAAAACCAGCCTAGAACCACCACCATCAGCAAAGCCTGTGAGAAACCAGGAAAAGAGTTTAAAATTTAGGCAGTTTTGCTTATGGAATTTATCATTTTCAGGCCACTGAATTTTACAAAAGTTTTCTTAGACCATGTCCAATTCAAAGTATTGTGATACTTGGACAACTGTGGGCTCTTGCTTCTGTTCCTATGATGTAGAGGCCACTATTTTCCCAGCCTTAGAATGTGCTAAAAATGTGTGGGGAAATATGGTCATAACATAAGACGTCCAGTTAGGTCCAGTCAGGTCACTGGAGGGTTATACACTCTTTGACTAAATGCATTTTTTTGTTTCAGGAAATGAAAGTTTTATTCTTGAATGGCTAAAACCATTAGAAAGAAATTTCAAGATAGAAGAGTATTATTGTCTATTATCTGTGTCTTAGCTCTACACATATAACAGTGATGAAAAGTAAGTTATAGTACTATGCAATATTTATAGTCTTCACATATATCATTTATGCTGCTCAAGAAGTCAGCTGAGGCAGGTATTGAAAGTACAGCTACCCTTCTTATGGAACCGAGACTGAGCAACTTAGAGACTAAGGAAGCTCTTGGATTAAAAATAGAGAAGGAGTTATCTGCAACTTGATGACCACACTCAGCTGGGCCATAAATCATTCTGATTCTGACTGTAGAGAGAGTCTATGATACAAAATGAAACTCTGGCCATAGGAGATATCTGGAGGCTGGGTAAATACTGGGAACATAGATACTAGTACAATAAAATTAAAGGCAAAATCTTCAAGAGGGAGGGTGTTGCAGTTTATGTCTAGATGTCTCCCTAAGCCTCATGTGCTCATAGGTAGGAATTTGGGAGGTGCCTGAATCATGCGGGCATGATAATCACAAGTGGATTAGCACACTGATGAATTTATAGCTAAATGTGATGCTGGGAGGTGAAGCCTGATTGGAGGAGGTGGTCACTGGAATTATGGCCTGGAAGGGTCTATCTCCCTCCTTCCTCCTTGATCTCTCTCTGCTTCCCTGCCGTGCCATAAGCAAGCCTCATCTGCCAAGCCCCTCTATCATGCCACCCTGAATTGGAGCCAGCTAACTACGGAGTGAAACCTCTACAAACTGTGAGCCAAATAAACCTTTCCTCCTTTAATTTGTGGGTGTTGATTACTGTGTCCCAGTAAAGATAAAGTAACTAAGATAAAGGGTCAAAAGTGTTTGTGATAAGTCAAAGTCACTTCCTGGATATATCCGGGGATAAAGAATCTAAATTTTTAATGCAGTACAACTTTCTCCCACACAAGCATTTTCTTCTGACCATTGTGCAAGCTCATGTACATGAAAACACTGGAAAGGACAAGACAAAAAAAAACAGAAACAATTCAGACTACTCAACAACAATTTATGATATTCTCATCACATCCTCAGCTACGTGATGGGTGATAGCACGGAATGAGTGGAAGAAAGCATATGGCCCTCATCCTTAAAGAATTTCAGGTCTGATTAAGGGGACAGGAATACAATTAATTAGGAATTCAATCACAAATTCTAGTAGGTTCTATTTACTATCTCACAAGTCACTTATCCTTGGATAAAGTCTTGGTCAGATTCTTCTCGAAGTTTCTACTCATCCTTCTGGCACCAGCATAGGAAGTTGACATGTGCCATACTCTAACCATTATCTATGATAGATTTCCTCCTACTTGATCTATCAATACACTATGGATGATTTTCTATTCGTACTTTTCCACACTGTAGTGACTGCATGTAGTTTTCTCCCACCAAATTGTAAACTTCTCAAAAGAGGGTACCATTGCTTTTACATTTTTAAATTCCTTTTATTTAGTTTATGTCTGGACACATAATGTTCCTGGAAGAATGACAAAACTGAAAGCTCAAATAGTCAAAGAGGTTAAATCAAATTGGAGATTTAATGATAAAGAAATGACAGCACTGGTGGGTATAGCCATTTGAGCAAAAGCTCAGAGGTGATTAATAGTATATCTGGAATGGTTCTGACAGAATGGGGCTACAGAGATTCTGCAGGTCTAGGAAAATGAAAACTAAAAACCAAACCAAAGACAAGTATAGACTACACAGAATACATGAAAACCATGGATATGAGTTGGATTGAAATCTATTCATATGTTTTTGATTTAAAGAAAAATACTTTGGTATCACTTACATTCCATTCAACTGCTCCAATAGCAATCCCTGAGGCTGCTCCTGTCCCAGCCAGGCCCACAAAGTGGCCACTGCCGATATTACTGGCAAAGATAGAGGCACCCATCTAGAATGCAAGAGAACACACTAGGGTTAGAGATGAAATATCCAAATCAAACCTTTTGAAAAGAGATGTTCATACATTTCAATTACTAAACATCAGAACACTACTTAGCAAATTATGTCCTATGGGTGAAATCCATGAGGTTTCCATGTTTTATGTAGACCATAAAAAAGACCATAAAGAAAGACCATTTAAACTTTTTTTTTTGAATGTCTACAATGGTTAAAAATAATAACATGTTCAAAAGTAAAAACCTGAACTTACATGAAGTGTGTAAATTCCTGCATCCCTAAATAGTTTTATTGGAACATATTCATTCTCATTGACTTTACTTACGTTTGTGCTGTAGTGGCTACCTTATGTAGTTGAAAAAGTTTATATAGTCTATAAACCTTAAAACATTTACACTCTTGCCTTTTAGAGAAAAGCTTATTGGCTGGGAGTGGTGGTGCATGCCTATAATTGCAGCATTCGGGAGACTGAGGCAGGAGGATTGCTGAGAGTTTAAGGCCAGCTTAGGTACAAAATAAGCTCAAGAACAGCCTGAACTGCATAGCGAAACCCTGTCTCAAAAAGAAAAAAAAAAAAAAAAAGACAAACAAAAAGAACCAAACAAATAAGAAAAAAGCTTATTGATCCATGTAACTCTGATGTACATGCCAATGTATTCTTGATCTGTATTTTGCCAAGAACTGCCAAACTTACCATCATATTTTGCCTTTAAACCAACAGTAAGCACCTTGTGTTTCAGGAGAAGGGAATTCGTCTGCATCCTCATAACCTTAAGACATTATTTTCCCCTCATCCCCACTTCCGTCATATTGTCCACTATTCTTAAGCCTCAACGGTTAAGAGATATGTTTAGAATGGGCCGAGATGAGTGCCTGTCTGACAGATTTGGGGTTTAGGACCATCACTGCTTTATCTGGTCCTACACTTTAAGTTTTTTCAAAAGTTGCCTTTTCTGTTTAACTAGTTGGGAGGGATTGAGCTGGTTTGTGGCTTTGTGATTGGTTGAGATTTGCATGATTCACAAAATAGTACCGCAGAGGCAATGTCTGATGGAATGGCTCAATAAATAGACATTTTGAATTTGCAATTGGTCTTCTCTAATTACCCTGACCAGGTCATTTCCCAGTCTCCATTCCCCTTAATTTAGATGAATAAGCAGATCTGTGAAGAAATCATTTACTGAGGACCAACTGTATAGACATTTTGGTTTTGACATCTCTAGGTTGACAGAGTGTGGAGAAGGACAGCCTTTAGTTTATCTTTCAATGTATTACCTATTTGAGACTTCAGGATTGACCAAGCCATAGGATTGTTTGATTCCAGAGGAAGGCTAGCAAAAGTATTAGCGTAAAAGGCAATGGTAGCAGGACCTGCGTCCCTATAGAAAGCTGCTGGAACATCACTAGATGCTTTGCTAAGATATGTCCAAAGGAATGATAATATGATGGCTAACTAAGTCAAAGTCTAGTTCCTGTTATAATTAAGTTGTATTGTCCCTGTTAATCCTGTTAATTATTCCTCCCATTTTTGCTGTTGCTGCTTTTGTTAGTATCCCAATAAAAGTTTACAAAAAATGGTAATCAGTGTGTCAGTCTGAGAGGCTGAAGCCCCCTGATCCCATAACTTTGCCTCTTTTGTGTTTCTTTTCATCCATGGGCACCTCATTGTTGGGACCTGTCACCCCAGTCAGAAACTTACTATACACCGACAACAGAGGAAGATGTAGCCTCTGCTGCAATGGATATCTGGCTGAGGGGGCAATATACTGAAAGCCAGAAAAGAGAACATGTACTAGTCAAGGGTCAAAGAAACATCATCATTAACACATTACAGGGAACACAGTCCCTATCAGTAAGTACACAGAACATGAAGAATGGGTAGACATTCAGAGCAGAGCTGATCTTGAAGGAGGAAGGCAGAGAGGGGAGGCCAATCCAGACACAAAGAACAGCATTAGCTGAGAATGGTTAGAGCTAGGAAAACAAGGTAGAAGATTCTCAGTGAAGTTGGGGGAAAAGAACCTAAATAGAGCTCTACTGGATGTACTCAAATACCAGAATAAACCTGCTTTCAAATGTTGATAGTATAATGTTTTTTGAATCATAGATCACAGCCTAGACACAGCAATTTAGGGAAAGAACCATCCACAAGGGGGCAGTGAATACACAGAAACGGTCAAAATCCCCACTAATTTCTTCATTGACACTTAAACACATGCACGCATGCACGCACGCACACACAATTTATTTCCAGCAAACTGTTAGTGACTTACTGTCCACCAGACCATATCTCGGCCAGCCAGGAAGAAGCCTCCAACAGTGCTCCGGTTGGTCTTCAGCATTGCCTGAGCAGAAAGGAAGACATGGGAGGTCACAAACAGCAGTTGCACCCAGGACACTGGAGATGCTAACAATTCTCTGGCTGGTGTGCTGACCGTGGTGACTTTGCAACACTCCTATAGAAAGTAATATTTTCTAAAAACTGTAATGCAGCATCAGTTTTCTTTTCTTTTCTTTTTTGGTACCGGGAATTGAACTCAGGACCTTGCGTTTGCCAGGCGGGCGTTTGTGCCACTAAGCTATATCCCCAGCCCTATCAATTTTCAATGGACTTCAAAAACATTGTTGAAAAATTTAGAGCTGAAAGGACTTCAAGAAATCGTATTCTGCAAAACTGGTGTTTATTTGCATTGATGAAAACAATGTGTGCCAGTACTTGGATGAAAATTTGCAGTCTTGAATTCATTACTAAAAGAGAAAAATGAGTGGAACACAAATGATTTGTGTCCAAATCCTAAGTTAGAAAATCAATAACAATAAAGGAAAATAAAGAAAATGAGAAAATGAAAATATTTTGAGGTATTGTGGCAGGTGGTGGCGATGTCTGGTAGGACAGATTTATAGTTCCCAGTCCTGTCTGTTCTCAAATTGTAGAGTCGCTAGAGGAATAAGTTCACTCATTACAAACATTATTTATGACACACATAAGAGAATGATTCATACAGAGAAACAATAACACATTTGCAAACTGTTAAGGTCTCATTTTGTCAGGTCACTCTTCTCCCACACGAAGGCACCTTTCCCTAATCTGGTGCCCACCCTGAAAGTCCTTTGGGCTCCCACATACCCATAGTCCAACAGCCATCACCGCCAAAAAATAGATGACAATGACAGAGATGTCAGCAGCATTTTGGATGCGCTGTGACAGTGCAGGCAGCTCTGGGCTTCCGGCTGTTGTACTGGGGCTTACTGTGCTGGCCATGGCTGCAGGTGGTACAGTCCCCAGGCCAAGGATGGCCCCTTCTTTATGTAAGTGCTGAGTTAATGATCAACTTCAGGCAGGTGGGGCCAGCTATCTCCTGCACATGGGGACCTTAAAACTTTTCCCTTTGGATCCAGGCTGTGACACCCTGATCTTGCAGTGGTTAGTGTTGGAGTAAGTGTACCGTGAGGATGAGGGTGACAGACCAGAAAAGGGGACACACTTACAAGTGGGCGGTAGTATGTTCGTTGAGTGGAAAGACAAAATATTTAAGAGGAATTAGAGTAGTTTCAGCGGGAGGTAGAGAGAGTCATGGGAAACAAGGAGGGGGAGGGGGTACAGAGGTAAAGGTCCAGAAAAAGATCAGGAGGAGCAGAGGGTGATAGTTTCTCACTATACAGATCACATTTTTGACCAAAATGTTTTTCTCTTTGAAAATGAAGTTAATTATGCACATAAAGGTTTCCAAAGCCCTATAACTGTGCGACAGGTCCTCTAGGGGACTCCATGAGATACTCCAAGACCTCGGATAGTTATGCAATAAAGAGAAACAGCTTTACAAGTAACAATACGTAAAATACATAGCATAAAACTTAACATTTAACCATTCTAAAGGTGCAATTCAGTGGCATTAAGTACATTTGCAACCTTGGGCAATTATCTCTACCTCTCATTTGCAGAATATTTTTAAAGATTATTTTTATACTTTTAGTCAACGAGTAGAAACACTAATTTGCCCCATATAGAACATTTATGATTCATAACCATTCATAAAGCCTCATAGTGAGGTAGGAACAGTATGGAAATAACACAGATAGAACTCTTTTCAGAAAATGATGTTTCCCTATTTTTGCCTTTCTACATCCTTTGTAGGGGCTGGGGATTTAGCTCAGTGGCACAGCGCCTGCCTGGCAAGCGCAAGGTCGTGAGTTTGATTCCTGGTACCAGAAAGAAAACAAAAACAAAAACAAAGACAAACCCAAAAGAAACCCCAAATACATCCTTTGTAATTTCTGTTCCACTGTCTACATTAATTTATCTATCCTAAGTATCACATACAGGTGTAATCATACAAAACTTATCCTTTTTTGTCTGATTTATTTCATTTAGCATGATGTTTTCAAGGTTCACTCACATTGTGGCATGCGTCAGAATTTCTCCTTTGAAAAAAATTGTTTTAGCTTTTATTTTTATTCATATATTTTGCATTACATAATTGTCAAGGTTAATTAATACAGAATTGCATGTATTTATCATAGCTTATTCATCTGCCAATGGATACTTGGGTTAGTCAGATTTTTATTAACACAACAAAGTACACATATGGACTAACTCCATAGGAATGAGATTTACTTTTTTTGTTTTGTTTTGTTTTTTCTGGTACTGGGAATTGGACTCACAACCTCGCGCTTGCCAGGCAGGCTCTGTGCCGCTGAACTAAATCCCCAGCCCCAGGAATGAGATTTACTTTTACAGGTTTACAGGTTTACAGGCTGAAATTCTGAATAGTATAGCCCTGGTTCTGGTTCCATGTAGACAGTGTATGGCAGAGTCATGTAGAGGGAGAATGTGGTGGACTGACAACTTGTGGTCAACACGTAACACCCAGCTGAACCGAACCAGTGTGATGATGCATGTGGGAGACCCACCTAAGGATTGTTGCTGGCAGCATAAGAGGCAGAAATGGAGAGGAAGAAGTTGTTGGGAAGCTGTTGGGAAGTTGTTGGTTTCCCTGGACGAGCTTGTTATGCTGGCTTTCCTGACGAACTTGACTATTCTCATTGTGAAATGAGCTCAGAACCTTGTTGTCACTGAGAATGCCTTTGGTTCACTTGAAGGAAGCTCTAATCCTCACTTTGAGCATTGCTTCCTGGCTCCAAAGTAGAAGATGTTTCACTGCTCAGTCTCCTGGCAAAGCTTGTTCCATTGGATTTCCTGATAGGAGCTCAGCTGTTCTCATCCTCAAAGGAGCTCAGGACCTCACTGTTGCTGAGCATGGCTGTGGTACTTTTTGGGAGAGCTCTGGTTCTTACTCTGAGAGTTGCTGCCTGGCTCCAGTTCAGATCCCTCAGCTTAGTAGCACAGATGCATGAAACAGGCCTGCATGAGACATTGTCATGGGCGCTTAGCCTTCAGTTGTACTCATGGGGGCGTTGTGATGGGCTCTAGGTCTTCAGATGGGTTCATGTAGGACATTTTCATGGGATCCAGACCCTCAGCTGGATTCACTGGTCTGTAGTGTATGGACAGATTTCCTGCAGTCTCTTTGTATATGATACTTTGGGTGACTATTATAAATAACCTTATAAAATATGTGTCCTGTATTTTATTGTCCCCCTTGAAAAACCCCCAACCAGGACAGAAAATCATGCTAAGAGAAAGAAAACAAAGATGGCACAAAGAATCTGGGTTTTTCCCTTTCATGACCACTCTGGCCTAAGAAATATTAAGAGGTTATACATGAACTATGCCATTTGTCCAATGGTTTAAGTACTTTCTACCAGGCACCATTTCTTGAAGGTTCCATCACCTAATAAGACCATCTGGACATAAGCCTCTCATCAAATAGGTGTTTGCTGAACTCACAATCTATATATAAACCATAGCTGGTTGTTTTCACCATTTGCTGTTGGAAATAATACTGTTATAAATGTTGGTGTCTGGGCCTCTGCTTGAATGTTTAAGTTGTTGTGGGTGCACACCTGGGTCATATGACACTTCTGGTTTACACTTTCTATGAAATATATCAAAATGTTTTCATAGCAGCTATACTACTTTTCATCACCACCAGTAATACAGAAGTGTTTAATTTTTCTACACTTTTGCCAATACTTTTTTTTGTTTAAAAATTATACCCATCCTAGCCCGTATAAAGTAATATTGGTGTTTTGATTAAAATTTCTAATACAATGTATAATTATGTTGATTAACTTTTGATGCCTGCTATCAGGCATTTGTATACATTCTTGGAGAAGCATTTATTTAAATCCTTTAGCTATTATGGAATTAGATTGCTTGCATTTGTCTGTAGATGGATTTATCTAGTTTTAAATTTTTTCCCTGTGTTTTTGCCGTCTTATGCCAAATAAAGTAAGGTCAATTTAATAAAGCAATTGGTAAATCCAGTGCCATGATGGAGTTTATAGCAGTAAGATGGTTTACTACAAGTGCCCATTTTGCTTTGCTTCCCTACACACACACACACACACACACACACACACACACGTGAAAGCAAAGAAAAAATACTTATTTCACTGGATTATTTGAGGCGGAATGCTTGAGTACAGTGAAGTTATGGGATAGACATTGCTAAGAATAGAAGACTGGAAACTTACAATGGGTTTATAAAGAAGGGAACTAGGGACCCATTATCTGCTGTCTTATCTCTCCAGGTAAGATTAACCCTGAACCAAGAACTTTGCACAGCGGGGAAAGGGTAGGCAGGAGGCCCATAGAAGAATCCACTGTGTCATAATTACTTGACGATTTTCTGATAGAGAAGCTTATAACCCTCACATGGCTTGAGACAGTTTGGGGAGCCGTCAAGGATCCATACTGCTGAATTGCACTGTAGAAAGATCCTAGTTCACATTGTGCCCTGCCCTACCTGGGATCCTCAAAGTCATGGTACTGAGATCTCTCCTGTTAGGGATTCTGTGGAGCCTGAGTAGCTACACTGAAAATTTCAGATGACTGGACTCTGTGATCAATATCAGGCACCCCCTGTCCTCTGCCACTGCTTCACAAATGTCAGTGGCCCTGCCCACTCTTGTGGTACTAGGAAGCAGTCCATGGTTACACTTTATTTAACAGTATCCACTGATGCTGAAGAAAGAAATAAGATGGTCTCACTTACTTATCCTTTGTCCCAATAAAGTGCCAGACAGGTCTCCCTGAGTGGCTTGACCTTCAAATTTCCTATGAAACAGCCAGACAGCACTACCTACACAGAAGTAGGAAGTATCCACGCAGTGTTCTTTGTGTGGATCAGTTTAATGAGACCCCGGGAAGTATGTGGGCATCACCGGCCACTCACATTTAGCCATGGGAAGGAGACAGGCAACCCAAGCAGTTGTTTTGGCC